TTGGGACGTGAGTGCAGATCCCTATGAAAAAGAGGCTGGAGCATTTTCCTGATCCCTAATTTATGGACCATCACATAAATATTGCTATATAATATTCAGCCCAGCTAGAAGTTTCCACTTAGGAAGAAACCTAGGTGAGAATCACAGGGCTGAAGGAGGTTAGTGGGTAATGTGTGGGCAGTGCTGCGTAATGGAAGTTTGCACAGCACGTATCCACATTGCATTTGGCCTTAGCCAAAACGATGCCACAGTATCACTTTCATAAGTGTCTGGTTTGCACTGATGAAAACAGTGATTCTTTCCCCAGATACACCTATTACCAACTTCATATCTAAATGAGCAAGGAGTTTGTAGTGCCAGCTCTCTAGTTACTGAATGAAAAAAAAAAAAGAGTTTGCTGGGACTCAGCTTTGAACAAAACAGTAAAACAGAGAAGGGAAACAAGAACCAGTAGCTGCAACTATAACTTCAAACTAGGCAAAATCCACCCAGCGTCACTAGTAGTAAATACTCAAAAGAATCATGAGGCAAATTATGTAGGTCTGGTATTTGCAAGAATGGCAAATAAAACCTCCCACAGGTTATAAAGGTACTAAAATGTCCACTAGAGAGACCAAGGATTGCCACCCGACTGATGGAGCCAGAGCTCCACTTGCAATTGTTGCATTTTCTCTCCACAGCTCTCTACCTTAAATTCCCCAGCCCCAGTCAGAATTTAAAGATAGTAGAAAGAAAAGCATTCCCTACTTGCTTAAACAAACAAATCTAATAAAAGGCAAAATGAAAAAAGCAATCCCAAAGACCAGATGTTTAGTGAATCATGAATGCACATTTTCATGTCTGTATGCATCTTTGTGCAAGGTAAAATCCTACATGTAATGGGAATTTGTATAAATTTTAATGGCAATTAGGAGGCAACAGGAGAGCAAAAGTGTCCTTTGCAGTAGTGTAAAGGGGAAAGGATGCAAGCACAGAACACATGAACGTGCAGTCACCTCCAGGACAGTAAAAGAGGCTAACAGAATTCAAATGAAACATGGCAAGTCCTTCAGAGGAGAAGTCAGGCTGAATTACTGAGGAAACAACCAACTACCTACCTTTGTGCTGTACTTTCCATGCTTTCATGCCTTTCTTACCATTAATCTGCAGTTATCCCTCTCTGCCTCTTCCCCACTCTGACATGTGCACAGATAGAGCATTAACAAAATTTCATGGATGGAACCATGGAAGTTGGAGACATTGAAAACCATATCCACAATGAAAGGCCACTGGAATTAGCAGGAATTTTGATGTCTAACTGCGCTGGTTTTACAGGAGGGGCTGCGGAAATGGCCAAGAGATCTGAGAGAAACGGCCATGCAGACACTAAGGTCAGTGAAGACAGAGCAGGAGAAGGCGTACCAGAGCTGAGATTCCCCTGCAGCCCATGGTGAGATGGTACGCGGCCCCTCTGCAGCCTGTAGATGTTAGCGGTGGAGCAGAGATCCACCCGCAGCCCGTGGAGAACCCCACGCTGGAGCAGAGATGCCTGGGCCTGAAGGAATCCATAGAGAATGGTCTCTGTGAGCTGCTGGAGGCTGACAACGAGGTGGAGAGGCATCTGGAGCCTGTGGAGAATCCCATGCCAGAGCGGGTGGCAGCTCCCTAAGAAGCCCTGACTCTGTGAGGAAAAAGCCATCACTGGAGCAATCCGATGGGTAAGGATTGCATCCTGCAGGAAAGACTCACGTTGGAGGAGTTTGTGGACTGTCCCGTGAGGAGGGAATCCACTGGAGCAGGGGAAAGAGCGTCAGAGTGTAAGGATTTCTCCTCCTTTAAGAAATGAGCGGCTGAAACAACATGTGATGAACTGACTTGCAACCCCCCATTCCCTTTGCCCCTGCAAAAAGAGACAGAGCTGGGAAGAAGGGAGGGGTGAGGGGAAGGTGTATTTTTGAGATCTGGCTTTATTTCTTGTCATCCTCTCTGAATGAGCCATTAATTAATTAAATTAATTTGTTCCCAAACTGAGTCCATTTTGTCCGGGGTCATGGTTGGTGGGTGATCCCTCCCTGTTCATATTTCGACCCTCAGGCCCTTTGTTACATTTTTCTCCTCTCCACCTCACTGAGGGAGAGGAGTGATCGAGTAACCTCGTGGTAGCTTTGCTGCCAGCAGGGCTGAACCCCGACACTGATGTCCCTTCATGTGTGTCCGCAAAACCCAATATCCACAGTTACATCTGCAAACAGAAGTCTAGCCAGTGCTTTGATACAGATGCTTGGTTTTTGTTTGTTCTTGTCCCTTTGCATCCAGCCTCTTCCCTTTCTCTTCAGATCAAGTCCCTACCATTTCTTGGCCATTTTTTCAAAAAAAAAAAAAAACAATCAGTGAAAGATACAGATTTCTCAAGTTAAAAAATAAGTTAACTTAAAAAATAAAAAAAAATTAGAAACGGAAGTGTTGCAGAATGCAATTTAGCCCCTAGTTGTGTTTGTTCTAGAAATCCATGACTTACCGGTACTAAGGAAGCCAAAAACACCAACCCGGTAGCTTGCTATCACAACAATGACATTACTGACGGCAGCTAGGTATGATCCATCTACGGTTGTCTTTCCCACCTCAGCATTGTAACTCCCTCCGTTGTGGAAGAACAGCAACACTGACATGTTTTTGACCTGTCATGACAACAAACAGGTTAATACTCCAGTAGCCAACTGCTTTTGTAGGTCACGGATGGGAATACAAGCATTTTCCCCATTAACATTATCTAAGCCATCCACAGCTCTTTAACAGTGACCATAATGAGAGGATATCTTTGCATCTGTCGAAAGTTCTAGAGCTAAATTGTCCACAATGACCTATATACCATTAAAGAGGACACTATGTCCAGTGTAAAGAAGATTTAATGACATCACTGTCTTCCACCAGCAAATGACTATACCAGGTTAGTTCATAGATTTCATAGATTTTCTAGGTTAGAAAAGACCTTAGAGATCATCCAGTCCAACCGTCCCTAATCTCCCATGAAACCATATCCCTAAGTAGTTCATCCACCCTTTTCTTAAACACATCCAGGGATGGGGACTCAACCACCTCCCTGGGCAGCCTATTCCAGTGGCTGACAACGCTTTCAGAGAATACGTTCTAACATCCAACCTGAATCTCCCCTGACAAAGCTTATACCCATTTCCTCTTGTCCTATCACCCATCACTAATGTAAAGAACCCTTCCCCCAAAGCAGACCCATCCTGCTGACTTGGCCATTGAGTATTTGGGGGGCTCATCTTTGTGGTAACATGTCTGTTTCACACAAACACAGAGGAAAAGTTCAAACAAGTGAGAAACAGAAGAAGGAAAAGGCCAGTTGGGTTGCTTCATCTTGAGCAGGACTAACTCAATAGTCGTGCACGGCTGTTTCCTACTCTCAAGTCTTCAACATTAAACACTGCCTAGTCTCAAAAATCTCACTTGACAAGAGCTCCCCATTGCTCCTTCAATCCCCATGGAGGTTTTCCCCTACTAGATATATAGAGGGATCCTACACAGAGGATTTTGTCTCTGCATGGGAGACACTTGCCTCTCATGAAGCACAGAGGGTGTCTGCCCAAGAAAGCCCAGCGAGACTCCCAGGATAGGAAGGAGCTACCACGGGTTGCTGCCCGTGTCAGCACTCTTTGCAGAGCCACACAGTTTTGCTCAGAAATGGAGGTTTTTTCCCAACGCAGCACCCCATCTGTGCTGACCCTCTGCACATGCAGCACAGCTGCAGACAGGCTGCTGCTGAATGAGCAGCACAAAAACAGAACTGTCCGGGAGACCTCAGCATTTACCAGCAGATGACACCTCTGTCAAGATGACACTTGGAAGAAATACCAGTGAAGCATACAGAGGGGTTTTAGTTTAAGTTTTTGTCTTTTGTTTTCTTTTTTTCTTCTCACTGCAGAAAGCAGAATAACCTGTTCCAATGCTAAAAAGTTTTTTTCAAAGTGTAACCGCAATTTTCCATTCAGCTCTTTCATCCTGTATTGCCCATTTTGGGACTATCCTGAAGGAGGTTCTTCTCTCCTCTGCTCAGCACCGGGTCACACACGCCCACCCATCCCGCTTTCTGCTTTGGCAGCTGCTGGTGTTTTTCAAAGAAGGGCTGGTGGCCCCAGCAGCATCATCAAAGTACATCTGACGTTTGTTTTTCCCTGCAGCTAGAGGGCATTGGGCTCTGTTGCTGTTATTTTCTGGATGGATCTTAGCTAAACACAGCAGTTCCATCTGCTCTGGCAAAGGATGTCTTCAGCAAAAACACAACTGGCAGTACGAAAGAAGCAGCAGAGAAGTGACGGTTGCAGCCGCTTGCAAAATTACAGGGTAGGAGGCAAAGTCCCCTCAGCTGCCCTTAATTTGTCATGATTGTGTGTGCTCCTCACTTACCTATCCGGAGAATTACTTCAGAGGCTTCTTGTGAACACGACAGTGTTACTAAGAAAACCCAGGAAATAGCAGGCACTGAAACAGGCTGCTCTCTCTCAGGAACTTCTGCTCCTGAATAAAAATTGCCTAACTCACAGTGCCTTGTCTCTGGTTCCCATTTCTGCACCGCATGCAGCACAGAGAGACAGATGAGGGCAAAGAAAAAAACCAAAAGAATCTGTTTTGACACGGAAATTCATTCTGAAATACAACCACATTGAGCTATATCAGCTGAAATGGTGTTAAACACGATGCTGAGCCTTCTTCTTCCCCTTGGCTCAGCATGGTTAAGCCTGAAGTTCAAACTAGGCATTTCCCACATGTCCAGAGCCCACATTCACCATGACCTCCAGCTGCCCTGTAAGTTGTATATTGCATTATGCTGAGCGACTTTACCCAGCGCTCCAGTGATGAAAAGCTTAAGAAAGGCAACGATGAGAAATAAAAGTTAAAAACAGCAAAACAAAGTCTGCTGCAACAGGTATGGAGCAATTCAGGGAAAGATTTAGCACCAGGACTGTGCCTAGTGCCAAGCGTCTGGACGTAGCATTCCCATTTCTAGTCTGCATCGAGTAAATAGAGATCCCTCTCCTATGTAAAGATAAACTATCATGAAAAATAATTTGGGTTTTAATCTCAAGGGATTTCAACCTCAGAGCTCATGGATTGGGGCATTTTAGATGAAGGCTTTATGATATTCAGAACCATCTTCTCTATCCTCCTGTAAAGCATTTAATGAGCTACTTGGCAAGGGATAGATTTAAACTCTACTGAGCTGGGCAACCTCAAGGGCTTTTACTACTGTACAGTATTGCTCTGTAAAGAATTGAGTGCAACAGGGATGATGCGATAAGGATGAGAGTGACACGTACAGGGAATGGGACAAGAGGAGAGAGGGTGCACTTTCTCTTCTTATTTAGCTGAGAGTTTCAACTCTTCATCTTACATTTAAGCCCTTTGGAAATCAGGCTGAAGCATAGCTTCGCTTTGCTAGTGTGACAGGTAGCGATGGTTATACGTGGAAAAAAGTCTCTCAGAAGTGCCAGTTTTATTTGGAGAGTTATGTGGTACACGTAGCTATGGAAGCAAAATGAGGTGATGTCATTCACCTTCTTCACTGCTTGACACTAAGAGTGCAGGCAGCAGTCATCACACCATGCTCTTGTTCAGGCTTGAAATGCTCCTGAATGACCTCTGAGGTTGCTGCTCTCCAGGAGGCTTTATATTCAGTATTTACTAGCAAATTTAACTTTCCATGGGCCGAAAATACATAACTATAGCTCTTTGTATGTGAGTAAAAAACAGAGCTCACCACAAAAAGAAACAGGAAAATGCCATGCCTTCTGCTGCCAGCTACTTCTGCAAAAACAGAAGTTTTGGTTCTCTCTTAGACTAGACTTGCGCATGTGAAACTGATTGACTTGATTGGACCTACTTCTGTCTTACCGCTCTACAAAAGACAGGAGGGATGCAGTTCTCAGTACCCTCAGGAGAAAAGATAAGCCTGTTTAGTTTATCAGATGGTAGAAAATACGATGCTTTCAAATAAGCTATCTTGAAAGCAGCACTTAAGTGGAGAGGGCAAACTGCCTGGGACAGTGACCTGATGTTTTGAATAAGCAATGACTGCACTCAAGGCAAAATGACAGTCTGGTGCTGCAAGGGGAAAACAGGCTGCTGGTCTTTCTGGTGATTAAATGGGTCTGCAAGGGATTCTGCATGCTGCTGTCAGATAGCTAGATCAGCTCTTTCCAGACACGCAGTATGACAGACTCATAAATTTCTATTATAACCACTGTCACCTGCTGAAAATTATAGTACTGTGGAAAGAAAAACTCCATTTTTGTGCTCTGGGCCCACCCTTCGATGGGATTCACATGTTATTCAACATCATTATCCCCAGCCCCCCAGGGGTTTGGCCAATCATCTAATCTTGGCTCTGACTTGAAGCTTTATTTTATATCTGTTTAGAATGAGAAATTCAAGAGCTTTCAAATTACAGTCTCTCAGATTGTATCATTGGCCCAGTCATCTTTGAAACATTTATTTTTATGCTCTACGGGTTGTGCACAAATCTAGCATTTGTTACTACCCTCATTCCTCAACAGCTCTCACAGATGTCAACAGGAGAACAGTAAAGATGAGGGTGAAGAAAACCTTATCAGCTGCCGCTCAACTGGTGGTAAGCGTTGATGTGACATGTTGCATTGCGTTATCGTCTCCTGGACAAATGGTCTCATTTGAGGGACATTGCCATTTCTGTCCTTAATTTCTCCTCCTTTGCTGCCACTTTCCTCTTGTGTTTTGTTTCCTTCTTCGTCTCTGTCTTATTTCTAGCCTTTTAATTTGCTACCATCCGAGTTACCCAAACACAGCTCATGGAAAGCCTATAGGGAATACTCTTGTACCAGTACAAAAACCAGAGTGCCTAATTTAACCTTGCAGGGCTTTGTGAACACCACATGAAAAAGTTATTCATGCCAATTAAAAGTACTTTGAAAAGAGACAGTGATCAGCTACAAAAAAATATTCCACTTGTCTCCTACTTACAGTGGTGGCAGGAACAAAGACGTTCAGATAGAGGCAGTCTTCACTGACAGCGTATGATGGGGCGTCTCCATCTCCTGGCTGCCAACAAGCTGCCCTAGAGACATGGATTGAGAAAATTATAATAAAAACGCTTGTACTCTTTTTCCACTGCTGCTATTTCCTTATATTTTGATGAACTAAGTTGAGAAAAATCTTTAAATATGTAGATGTCAATCACATTTAAAACTATGCCCACCTATACCATAGTAACAAATACATCAGTTTGTATACACATACAGAAATGCAAAAAACACATTGCATTTTCATGTCTAGAATCCTTTCCTGAGAAAATCAGCCTCATTTTAAAAGATGAGAACTTTAAAATAAGCCATCAGAAAACTCATGCTCAACATAAAGTGCACAAGATTAGCATCAGATGTAAGGGGAGCAGGACTGGGGGGCTCAGGTACAGGTCCCTCCCGCTATTGCCTGCACATCTAGGTAATCCACTCTTCTGCTGAAATGCCAGTTCTTTATTTTACTTTTCAATAGTCTGTGGGCTATATTTATTTTTATTTATTTTAATTTCTAATAATACATGGGAAAATACAGTAAGTTTATAATTTTAATGTATTTTTAAAATCTATTTGTTTTAAGCGTCATAGCAGACCATTAGCAGTGCCCAGCAATGTTAAAAGTAAACTTTGAGTAGGAATTCAGCCAGCCAGCCACGTAAAGAAAAATAATTTTCTGGCCATTATCTTTATGAGATTCTTATGCTCAAACTCTCTCCACAGCAAGAATCAAGTGGATGACTTTGGCAGTTCAGATATAAGCTATTTCGAGGTCAGTTCCTTCTGCTTCGCAGCCATATTTATATCACATAATGCGTTACGGAAAAGAATCACAGGTTGTTAGGGAAGAAGTCGAAAGAGGTTATGGAAAAGACAGTAATATCTCAGAGAATTATTTCTAAATCATCATTTTTAATGCCTTTTTAAAATTTTTAAATGAAGGTATGAATAATTTAATAGAAAACTACAAGGAAAAGGACCAGCTATAATGCAATTCTACAAAATCTTTCCATAAAGGAGGTTCCTAGGATGGTGATATCACTCAGTAGCTTTCACACCAACTTAGAGAGGCACATCATCTCCAACCAAAACTGCCAAAGCCATTTTAGGCAGACAAAATACAAATTCCCAGGTGGGAACCTGGCCAGGACAAAAGGTCTAACACTACTAATTGTGTAGCTTTCCACAGAACAGTACGAATCATCACACATGCTCGTGGATACTTTTTGAGGGTTTTTTTTAGCAACTCAAAAAGATTCCCAGCACCTCCAACTCCCAGGATCGTCTCATGCCAGGACCGACTCCGGGGAAACGCTGCCACCTGCTGAGGCAAGTCCACAGCTCCTCCAGCGGCTGGAGACTCCCAAGAGCTGGACAGGTTTTTGGTTGGGTTTTGTTGGTTTGTTTGGGTGTTGTTTTTTTTTTTTTTAATTTTATCAGGTCCAGGCTGATAAATAAACATTTCTCTTCCATCAATCATGTCACTGTGAATTTCTTATATAAAAATATTGTACACCACCAATACAGAGTCCTAAAAAATATAGATGTCAAGACTTTCTATACACATAGAGAGTGAGGTCCCTGATTCTCCAAGTGCACTTCCATGGTGCTAAGCCCAAAGAATTTTTTTTAGTCTTAAATGAATAATAGAAGATAATGGCCAAGTTCTTCATTGGCCTAAGAAAGCACTGAGAATTCAAAAGATAGGAGCAGATTAACTAAGATCCCTGAATTGCTTTGAAAACCTCAGCTAAGCTGCTCCTTGCAACACCAGGTCTTCAAAGAGAGACCATAGAGGCAGATGGGTCTTACCAAAGTTCTAGCAGACACCACACTGTGGCTGCAGACACAAAGAGCTGATGGTGTGTGTGCTAGCTCATCACTGTGCACTTGAGGAAACAAAAAGCCACGTCTTGCAAGATCCCTCCAACATACATGAGGCTGTGTGGCTACTGTGGTTATGTTGTTAACACCTTCACAATTGAGGTGCAATCCAAAGGATGACACCACCAAAGGCCAGATGCTCTAATAACTCCTCAAGACAATGCTGCATCTCTTTTCACTCAATTCATCACAAGCTTTACTAGAAACCTCTGGAGACAAATTCTGAGTAATGGAGGGACCAAACAGCTTCTACAAAGCTGATAGGTCTCTAAATCTGTAGCCTCAGAGTGAATTTCCGTGAAAGCAGGTGGCTATTGATGTCAGGCCTGCAGCCTGCCACCCTCCCAGCTGCCTTGCAAAATCTATCATTTCCTTAACCATGCAAGCTCTTGGCCAGATCAGCTAGTTAGCTTGAGTAGTTCATCACTAACCACATGAGGACCACTCCTGGTGCCAGGAATTGAACAAGACTGCATGACTAGCTGAGACTGGAAGGATAACACAGGATCACAATAGAACTCAGGTCCATTCTAGCGGCCTTGGAAGCTCTTATAGAATCATAGAATGGTCAGGGTTGGAAGAGACCTCAAAGATCATCTAGTTCCAACCCCCCCATCTCGGGTCACTAAACCTCAGCTCTCAGCCCTGATTTCTTCAACTCCCTCTACAGAAAGTCTACCAAGTCCTTCCACCAGACACTCTCCTTTTAACTGTTCTGCATCTTCAATCTCTTATTTCTTGTTTCTATGATTTATTTTGTCCTCACAGTTCCTCATGTAAGCCATGAAAGAGCCTGCTTTTTATTGATAGGAATGTGATCAGTTACCAGCCCTCTTATATCAGCCTCCTGTGTACATGAGCAGCATGGCTCACTCAAACAGTTTTCATGTGTCTGTAGTTTGCTTTCTATTAAGTGGAGCAGGGATGTACAGTGAGAAAAATCCTGTAAAAATTGCTCCACTTTCATATCTTGTTTCTTGTTGTTGCTACGTTTCTATTTGCTGTGAGTTTTTTTTTTAAAGAAATCCACTGTCCTAACATGTTCCACAGCACAGACCACTAAGTAGTGTCACCCAATCCCTCTTCTCTTTAGAAATACACATTCACAATTCGTCGTTTTTGTTCCCCAGTGAAAGAAAATTAAGACTCGTATCGTAAGAATGAAACACAGACGTGCACAAAGGCTATGTCCATAGAGTATCTCCAATGTAAACTCACTGAACAGTGATGTCTGTGTAGCCCTGGAGAGCCAGGGCCAGCCAACAGGAAATATTAGATATAGAGACTTAAGATAAATTTAGCCCATCTACTAACACAGTTCCCAGCTCTCGTTTCCTCTTAAGACATTACTTAAAATGTTTATAACTTCTGTACTTCTGTCCAAGCCATTTAGCAACTATTTGCCTCTCAACAGTTTTTGGACAGAAAATACTATCTTGGTCCTTCAGCCTGATCTCCTAGACACTACTAGGCAGAGAATTTCTATATGAGGTCCACAGCTTTTTTTTACATCAGCATTAAAATGCCTCTGTTTGATTAAATATTCCACAAATTTATGGTTCAGCAGAAGCAAAATGTATTTGCATAAATATTATAAATATCTGTATAAATATTCAGAATAAAAATAGACTGACAGCAGTCAGTGCGGAGTTATGCACAGATTCAAGGCAATGTACTGGAATCTGTCTTTTTTTCTTAAAGTGCTTGCATGCATTAACATATAGATGGATAAACTATTCTTTTTGCTAAACAAAGTCTCAAACTTGCACTGATCTGTATCCTAAAGGTTCTTTTGCAAGAAAGCACATGAATATTGTGATCATCACTCCAGCTACTTTCATACACCTGGATGGAACAAGCACTTCTGCAGATGATCAAAGGAGTTTCTTACCGAGCCACAGTAGCATTCCAGGTTTCCACCCAAGAAAATGTCCCTGGAGGACTGAAACGCCTCTCTGCAAGGGGAGGTGAAGCATATGGGATCCCCAGGAACCGGCTGATATTTTTCCACTCTGAGCCAATGCGGATCACCTGGGACTTGCCTATCAGATCTCCATGGGACGGGATGTACACAGATGGGGTTAAATCCGATTCAGATATGGGCAGGAATAAATCTATTGCAGGGGGAATAAAGGAAAAATAATTTGCTTTTTTAAGTTATTACCATTTCACAAATGAAAACTAATCCCATTTCCTTTAATTTTAAATTGTTAACTAATTCACTTCTTTAAATGAAACACAAATAAATTTGTGTTATTCTCTCCCTATAAAATACTTCATGCTATGCTAGATGTTAGATACTGGATATGGACACTTAACTTTCCAAAGCCTTACTCAAACCTTTATTCCAGATCAGACATCACATTAGAATATAAACCTGAGCATTTCTACAAAAAAAAAGAGAGATTTTCAGACTTTCCCCTCTCTTCTGAGTTTAAAAAGCACAGTGTTAAACCTTTAAACATTTATAGCAAGTCAGAGAGAGGAAAGATAACCCACAGGTCATTGGTTTGGGCTGTCACCAGGAAAGACTGGTGCTTTGGTCCCCTTTCCGGTAGCTGTTTCATCACGCGAGATGGAAGAGTTTCAATAGAAGGCACTGAGCACAACCTGTGTCCAAATTCTCTACAGCCTTGAAGTGGGAATCACCAGTGCAAGTGCTTGCTTTAAGTAAGTCAGGCACATGCATGCCTTCTACATGCCAGAGAAGGGAATGTGAGACTTCAGGGTACCAGAGAGCCTTCATTACCATCTCTCACGTTACACGCTATTGTGAATATTGCCATTTTCTTTCACAGAACTTATGCCAGTATCTGCATTTTAGATCAAACATAATTCCTACCTGAATTTATTTTTTGCTTGCAGAAAATTATGAAATATTACAGGGTTTATAGTCTGATTTAATCTTCTTTTTTGTATAAGGATTATTTGGTTCATAAGCTATCCATCCAAAGAAGAGCTTCTTCAATAATATATTACTTTAAAACAGATCTAAGTGATACCTCGTACTATTTCTCTCCTAAAACAATGTATCAATAGCCAAGAACCAAATTCTAAGTTACGTGACTAAAATCAAAACTGTAAATAAATATCCAAACACACAAGTCTTAGCTTTTATGTCTCAGTCTGTGATTTTGGTTCCCTTAACAATGATAAACCCTTTTTTCACTCATTGGATTTGTCAATTCTTCACAGAAATTTCAGTGAAGAGAAAAGGAAATATTTCTTCCCTCTCCCCTTATTATTACCTGGTTTCTAAATACTTCTAATAAAAGAAATAATCAGTATTACATGAAAGGAAAGCAATCTCTCTTAAAATCAAGGGAAAATCAACACAACTTAAAGTTACAAATAAATACCTAGCTAAACAACAAAATTTTTAGCTGTCCACACAACTTCTATTTCTCTCTTAAATAATTTTCACTTCTTTAAAATATTTGTTCACCTTGGTTTAGGGGTTTGGGGGTTTTTTGGGTTTGTTTGTTTTCTCCAGAGATAGTCTTTAAGACTTTCAATTGACAGTGAGTTTTCAACACTCCTTGTGTTATTCTCAGATTTTAAAAGGAAGAATATATAGAAACATCTTCTGCAGATGAAAAGGAAGGAGCTGGACATTCCTTACCATTTTTTTTCTTTGTTCCTACCAATCTGCACTTTCTGAAACATCTCTCATAGACCAGATTACTTTATTATGCCTGCTTCAACAACAGATGATAATACCATGATTTTGTGCATTTTTATAAAAAGTATTTGGGGACATTTTCCCATCCGTCTTGGCTCTCAACTCCACTGAAGCCGCAATGGACAGCTGTCTAGGAGACATCCGTATTGCTTTGTCTACTGAGGATTTTCTCACTCTTCCATTCACAAGAATTTTGCACAGGCCACCGTGTTGAGTTCTTTCCTCCATAGCCTTAACTTGCTCTTACCTTGTCTCCTGTAGGAATATGTAGCTGGCTCTTTGAGTAAAACCCAGCAGCGATGCCCTTGTAGACCATGTGTGCATATCTGTGTATCAGGGTAGAAAAGGCACCTTATCACTGAAGGCTGGATTTCCAGTGTAACCATTGTACATGACTGGTTCTTTGAACAAGCTGTGAGGTGAAACGTGAAGAAAAAGAGCAGGTAAAAAGGAATTCTCAAAGTGCTTTGTATGACATTGTAAAAAGATGCTTTAAAGAAAGGTTTTACAACAGGTCAAGCAATAAGTATATAAAGTAGCTCTAAAGCAGAATAACATGACATAAAAGTCCCCAGATTCCTAGAACATTCTCCAAAATAGCCAAAGGACAAAATGTTATTTTGGCTTTAAAAAAATTGAGCAATACAACAAGAGAATTGGTATCATAGGCTTTAGGAGGAGAAAAATATCTTCTAATAGAATAGTGAAGACCTCAACTGAATTCAAACAGCCCACAAGGAGCCCCAGGGAGACGTTTCAGAATAAGAAAAGTGACCCTCTCACTCATCCCAGTTTGTATACAGAGATGGGTATCCAGTATTTTCCTTCAGAAAAGCTCCTTCAAACAGTTATGGGAAAAGGTAAGGGAAAAAAATTACACTGCTCACCTTCATAATGTGAGGACCATCTACTGCAGAAAGTGGGACCATTCCAAGGACCATCTGCTGCAGTAGGTAGGGGCAGTAACCCGACTTTTCCTTAAATCTACCACTCTGTGGTGCTGGAGGATTTGCCAGTCATGTAAAGTTAAACAACACTCTGCTGTCTAGTCAGGCTACTGACCAAAGCAGTTCCTTTTGTTGGTACTACAGCCCAATCCCTGCTTCATCCCAGCTCTCAGCTAACCTGTCCTCACGCACCACAGCTACAGGTTACTTTAGATAATGGCAGGTGGCTCTATCATCTGTCTCACTCAATGAGCTTCCCTTAACTGTTCCTTAGAAAACAACATCACCCCTTTAATTATTCACTACAATAGTCTCCAATTCGTACAATGCCTGGAGAAGCAAGACATCTCTTTGTCCAAGAGGTGTCAAAATTATTCAATCACTGTGTGATATGTTATGTCTACTGTATCTTTCATTAGATAAACGATTTCAAGTGCCTCCTCTAAAATTTACAAATACTGGGGTAGTCTTTAAAATTAAGTAAAATCAGTGTATCTATGTCAGAAGATGTGGGGGAGCTGTTCTTGTGTTTTTCAGGCTCATAAGCCAGTAGTTTCTGTAAATCTACAAATAACTATTTCTTACCGGATAGACAAAATTCTCTGGCAGTGGAGAAATCATTAGATACATCTCTGCTAACTTGCACAACTTCAAAGTTTGAGATGGACGAATCCGTGAGAATAGAGGACACATTTAAGGGTTTCCATATATCCAAATACTCTGTAAAATTAACCATACAAAGATAATATAACTAGAGGAATCAGTAAAAGTTTCAGAATAAAATAATATAGAAGTAAAAGTATTGAGGAGTTCCCCAATGAAAGATTTTCACCTTCTTTTGCATCAACTGGAAATACATAAAATATAATACTCAAAGGCTTCTGGTTGACTAGAGGGTCCGGTCCCGTTTTCAGAGGTCATGTACAACTAGATTTACAAAGGTATTCAGTTAATAAAGAGATTAATCTGGAACAGCTCCATCCAGGTTTGCATGTAAATCCAACCGGTTTAAATAAAAGATTTCTGAACAGGCCTAATAACATGAAAGGACATGGGTCATTATGCTTGCACACAAGTTTCTGAGCAGTTACAGCCACCAACTCCTTGGAAAGCAAGTCGATCTCCTGCGTGTGACTGAGCACTCCCAGAACCTTCAGCAGACGTCCGCATCTAGATCTAAAACAGGAGCTGGTTTCCTAAGATAGGCTTCACCTTAGTCACCTGCAAGGTAGGTGTCTACATCTGAGTTTTAATTACACTGGACTCCTTGTATGATCAAGAGGAACAGAAAGTTTTGCTGTACATCTCCATCCTGGTTTAGATGTCTGCTTTAGGATGAGACAAATCACCTCCAGGAATCCATTGATTACATGAGCCAGATGTCCATGTTTTCTGTACAGGGAACTTCATGTGATAGCTGAAATGGAGATGTCTATGTTGCCTGCATACATCTACATACAGAGAGCAAGTCCTGACCTTACAGACTAAGTGAAAGTAATTCACAAATGTTATATTTTGTCTTCACTTCCCTAACAAGTAATAGGCCAAAATCCCACAAGAAGCAAATAAAATTTTCACAGATTTACAGACTTTTATTTTTAAAGGTCACAAGGATTATTTTGATCATTTTAATTTGATTTCGTAGACAGAATTACATGAAGTTAGATGAACTCTTCTAATGTCATGTAACTGCTACATAATTAAAATTTAATTCTATTTCATATCTATATATACACATAAACACAAATATGCACATATGTATATACACATGTATTACACATATACCAACATGTATACTCACATATATACATGTACATGTTTGATCATATTTATACACACACATACTGACTCTAGTATTCATCAAGAATTTTTCTTCTGTCTCACAGTGGTTTTTAAAAAAATACCACAAACATTTATTTTCTCATAGACAAACAGATGAAAATATCTGCAGGCTCTCAATTTTGCACACAGACATCAAAAAAGAAGGCTTGGGAAAGAATGGGCCTTTAATTATTTTAGTTTCTTTCAACAGTTCAATATGTTTTAAAAGCAAAAGGGCCCTGCTGTGGCCACCAAGTCCTCAACAGGAGGCTGGTGCTACCGTCTGCATGTGATTATGGGGTGAGCACAGAACTGAGTCAGCTGTTGTCTTGCTATTCCTGGTGAGCAGATCTTGCCCTGTTGCTTGTTCATTTACCACACAGATGCAAAAGTTGTGACCATTCATTACATTAAAGATTTCTTTTAGTCTTCTGAGAAATGGGTGACTTGCAAAAATGGCCAAAGTTTCCTTCCTTCCTTCCCCTCCTCAGAGAAAGATAGCTGCGACCACACCACCCAACATCAAATCTGAAGCTGAGGAAGTTCATACAATCAGGGCTATGTCATGTCCTCCTTGCAACTTGGAAATCCTGATGCTGACATATTTTTCCAGTTGACGAGAACCCAAGATCCTAAACAGACCACAGACTAGCCTGGCTGCATTGTTCCTTGAGCAAATAGGCAGGGAATAGCGATGACTAAATTAGATTTCAAATTTATTTTATTCCAGATAATTCATGACAACACTGGGCATCTCCCACAACCCAAGACTCTACGTTGATGTTAAAAGTCTTTGCTTTTGGAAAGTAAATCCTTCCCAAGGAAGTGTAAGCCTCAAACATGGGCTATCTCCCAGAGGACTAGCTGAAAAGAGTTGATGCGCTGCCACCATTGCCAAGGCTGCTACCTTAGTGCTAGCTCCTTTGCTCTCACCCTTGCTGAAGAAAACATCTGAGGGATTCATGGAGTGATGAACCGACCTACTGTACACCATATACATTTCCAAACAGCCCAGTCACATCTTTGAACTAGAGGCAAGAAAGCAGCACTGGGTTCCATGGGTCCTTTTTAGCCACTTCAAAATCATTCTATTCCTGTTATATATGGGAGCAACTCTTCTAAGAGATAGAGGCTGAAAGTCTCCAGCTAAGTAGAAATGAAGGTTAATTTGGTATTGCATTGTTACGTGCTAAAACGCATTTTATTTTTCTTATCGTTTGCCCTGAATCATGCTAAAGACCACAAGCTTATTTAATATTGCAGAGTAGCAAAGTCACTATCAGCACTATATTCAGAGGGAGTCTGCACTAGTAAAGGAGTAATGACCCTGCAATCACAGCTTGATTTGTGCAACAGACCCACTGCACTTAATTTTTCCTTCCCTTTAAGCAGCCTATTCAATTATTTTAGAGGAGCACAGTGATTTTAGTAATGTGGAAATGATTACATTTCATACTGTCAATGGTTTCTCTATTTTAAAACCATCTATTATGATTCGTTGCATGACCTGTGTTAGAAAATATCAGCCTCTACATCTAGGGTGAAAGTTTGTAGCATTTATTTAGAAAGATATCTAAAAATAGAAATCAACTCTGCAAGTCATGGAGAATTAATCATTACATCCTCTAAAAAGATCACTTGCCTGTGCTGCTAGATCTCCCAGGTCTTACTTTTAATGATTATATCTTGTCAGTTTATGTTTTCAATTTATTATTTTTTTCTGAAAACATGAACAAGAATTTTTTTTTATCAATATGATTTAAACTATGTTTTTACATAAGAGCAATGTTGCCCTCTTGTACTGTGTACAGTACTGGTAACTGAGGTCCTACTACCGGAACAAGTAATCTCTCTAGGTTCAGACACAAAGCTTCGAATTACTAGCTGCGGTTCTTTCAAAAAAAGAGCCTTGTCTGGATTCCACTGTAAGTCAACAAGTCTGGGTGCATCAGTGGTTTTGGAAGATATTTCACCAGACTGACTCTTGTCCCATAGCTTCCCCGATTCACCGAGTGACCTCAGGTAAGTCTCATAATCCTCATATGCCTCCATTTGTCTACAGGTCAAACATTCAGAAGTGTTCTCGCTAAGCTAAATTCTACTTTCTCAGGAAAGAAATCCAAAACAATTCTACTAACAAATTTTTGCTACAAGAGCAAAATAAATTCCTTGAATTTACACCTCTTATACTTGAATTTGGCCTCCTGTATCTATTTTCCTGAGGTTTACTAGCTTACCGTTATTAAAATCTTTTTGAAGGTACCCAAACTAAGCTTGTGAGTGCACACTGCCATTATTAGGTATATGCAACGTGTTCTACATTTGACCACAAGCTAAACTGCCTGCTTCATATTAAAATATTTTTGTTTTATCCCTTCATATGGGATAGCATCAAATTAACAACATTTATTTTGAATACATACAAGATACAAGTGGCACTTCACAGCCCATGCTATGTACCAAGAGTGACCACTCATGATGCAAACATCCATAGATCATACACTCATACCTAAAACACATTTTATTTTTCTTATCGTTTGCCCTGAAT